AGTCTCGTTTATTGCCGGGCTAGCTAGAGTTTATATAGGGAAGGGATGGGGGGCGGGAACGAGGAGAGTCATTGGCGAATCGCTAGGCAGAGGGCGGGAGGATCCTACTTTTGAAATCGGGAAACAGAAACTTAAACTTAGGCGAGAAACTTTACTCAGGTACGTTACTCAGGTGGGAAGTTCAAACTTAACCTAGGCGGGAAACTCAAATTTAGGCCGGAAGCGGAAAACAGAAACTTAACTCAGGCGGTTTGATACATGATTGCCCGGTGGGCTAGTTTCCCACAGCTCTGTAATGTTGGTTCTCTTCACTTTTTTTTTTTTGAGACAGGGTCTCGCTATGTAGTTCAGACTGTCCTTGAGCTCACTATATAGCTTGGGCTGGCCTCAAACTCACATTGCTCCTCCTGCCTCAGCCTCCCAAGTGCTGGGATTACTGGTGTGTACCACCATGCCCAGCTTTTGTGATTCTTTTCGTTCATTAGCTTCATTATTTCTGTTTTTTTAGTTTTTTTTGGGGGGGGGGTTGGTACCGGGGATTGAACTCGGGACCTTGTGCTTGCAAGGAAGGCACTGGAACCACTGACCTAAACCCCCACCCCAAGCTTCATTATTTCTATTCAGAGAATGGGCCATCTTTTGCTGTACCTGGCACACAGTAGATGCTCATTAAATTAAGAAACATCTTCTTTCCTTGGGCCTAGGGGCCCTGAGATGCCCTGGGAAAGGTCTGGAGCAGCAGCAGGCCCAGGTGGCAGCCTCCAAGCTGCTTAGGAGTGGGCCTGGGCCTCCCTGAGCCCTGCTAGGCCACAGTTAAGGCTGGACAGACTAAGCGCCCGCCCTGCGGCACTCCCCGGCTGTGGTCTGGTGCCAGGCTTGCCTCCTTGCTTGTCCCGTCTCTGTGCCATACCAGAAGCCCTGGGAGGGCACAGCCACACTGTGTAGATGGCAAAGTCAGGGGAGTGGCTTTGATCCCACTCGCTGAGAAGGTTCAGTCAAATCCATGTCCTTCTCTGAGCCTCAGAGTCCTCATCCATAAACAGCAGGCTGTGGGGGTTTTGTGGGGAGGCTCTGGAAACATCTTTGGCACAGAAAGGTCTCCAAATGAATGATGGGTAGAGAGAGAAGGGGCCCAAGAAGGAGCAGGCAAGAGAAGCAGGTTTCTAGCTTGGTATGGACTATAAAGCAAGACCCTGTCTCAAGAAAAAAAATCGAGAGACAGACAGACAGACAGACAGACAGACAGACAGGTTTCTGGTTTATCCAGCCCAGCACCAGAGCCTTCGACTTTTTATCTGCTGTCATCTGGGTGGGAACTGGAGCCTGGTGCTCAGGAGGCAGCCCAGCTGCAGAAGGTGGCTCTCTGAGAGCCTTCAGGGGGCATCACAGCAGCCAGGGCAATGCCTCTGCCCAGAGGGAAGGTGCCAAGGTAGCCGCCAGGAGGCAGAAGTGGCTGGACAGAGGGACAGCTGCCTAGCACCCTGAACCCTGGGCCCTGGTGGCTGGGAAGCAGAACCTATGACCACACAGCTGAAGTGTGCACAGTATTCAAATCCAGGCAGTGTGGCTTGTTTTTGGAGATGCCAACGATTGATATCAGAGCCAAATAAGGGCCAATGTCTCTTCTTTTTTTGGTACCAGGGATCAAACTCAGGACCTTGAGCTTTTGAGGCAGGCGACAGAACCACTGAGCTAAATCCCCAGCCCCCAGGACCATTTGACCATTCACAAATAACTCTACACTTGATCTTAGCCAAAAGGCCGAGAAGCGATCACAAATAACTCTATATTGACCACCTACTCGTGCCAGACCCAATCTTAGGCGATGGGGCCTAGGAGCCCATCTGGGAGAGAAGCTAGGCACTGGGAGTTACTCAGAGGGCGGGAACCAAAACAATACACGTGGAAGGGAAGAAACAAGCTGGGCGGCCCCTTTAAAAGGCGGGGCCTGGCAAGCGGAACTGTGAGGCAAAGCTAAGAGGTGCACCCGGAAGCCATAAACACTACACCCGGAAGTCTTTTAGGCAATAAGAAGCTACGCCACCGGAACCTTCGATACTATGGGCCGAAACAAGAAGAAAAAAAGAGGTAGCGACGACCGGCGACCCCGACTCGTCCTCACCTTTGATGAAGAGAAACGGCGGTGAGTGGCAAGGACAGGTGGGATTCCCCCTCTCGCTGCCCAGCAAAGCCAAGTCCCGCGTCGCGCGCGCCCACGCCGAGGTCTCTTCCGACCCCGCCTCTTGGTCGTGGCCTCTGGGGTTGCGCTTCCCGCTGGGCGCCCCTACACGCTCAGAGCAATGGCTTGGACCGCCCCATCCCATCCCGGTTGTAGGCCTTCCAGATAGGAGGCTCACAGCCTTCGCTGAGGAGTGACGCGCCTATGAAATGAGAGTGGCTTACGTTCATTCATTCACCTAAGAGACGCGTTGGGCTCCTGCGGTGTTGCCAAGCTTTGGGCCTGGAAGCCAAACTACCGAGCCTCTGTGTCTGGCGGGACAAATGACACATGGGGGCGCCTCTGCGGAAACCTCGTTGCTGGACGCCAGAACCAAATGGAAACAGCAGTCGGCACTAGGGATATGAAAAGGGGCACATCAGATGAGAGGGAAGAAAGCTAAATTCCCAGGCATCACCAGGAAACTCCAGGGTGACACTAATGGGCCCCACAGCTGGGTTCAGGGGTCTTATGTGTTGGAGAAATGGATATTGATCCAGCGGAGGATTTTGGAGGCATGGGTGAAAGGGTTCTTGAAAGTCCTGCCAGAAGTGACCTAATTCCTGAGTAATGAAATGTGTCAGCTTAGTACTACCGTCCAGGCTGGGTGTGCAGTGGCTGTTCCATCTAAGTTAGTATATGTGTACTCCATAATGTCTGAGCAACAACAGTCACCTAACAACTTGTTTCTCAGAATGTGTGCTTGTCAGTATGAGAGGAGACCACTCCTCCATATGGAATTAGGCAACTATGGATTAACTAGGTAACTCTGCTGTAAGAGTGTCTGTCCGGAGTCCTCACAGTTTCCTGCTTCAATTGAAGTATGCCTGAGAGCCGGGCATGGTGTCAGATGCCTAATCCCAGCACTTGAAAGGCTGAGGCAGGTGGAGGAGAGTTGGAGGCCAGCCTGGGCTACGCAGTGAGTTCAAGGCCAGCCTGAACTACATAATGAGACCCTGTCTCAAAAATTAATAAGGGCTGGGGATTTAGTTCAGTGGTTCGGCTGCCTGCCTTGCAAGCACAAGGACCCAAGTTCAATCCTTGGTACCAAAGAAAAAAAAATTGATAAATAAAGTGTACATGACTGTACTCTGTGACCTTGGACAAGTAACCTAGACTCTATAAAATAGGGACTGATACCTACTACACAGGTTGTCATGAGAGTTAAATGAATTATGGAAAGGTGCCTGGGACGTAATGTGGCATTGGCTGCTTTTCTTAGAGTGAGCCCCTTCTTTTCTGTGTCTCCTCTCAACTCTCCTGCTTCCTTCCCATAGGGAATACCTGACCGGCTTCCACAAGCGGAAGGTGGAACGGAAGAAGGCAGCCATCGAGGAGATTAAGCATCGGCTGAAAGAAGAGCAGAAGAAGCTCCGGGAGGAGGTGTGGGGGACAGTGGGGAAGTCCGAAACCCCAGACAGCACTGATGATACAGGTCTGGGGAGCAGGGCTGGGCCTGGGGAAGGTGAGGATGGAGTCTCCTGACCTTATGTGAGCCCTGATCTCACCCACAGTAGAGCAAAGCAGTGCCCCTGCCTGAGACTGGGCTGAGATGCTGGACTCATTGTGTTTCCTTCCTGTTTGTCTTCAGCGCCACCAGGAATACTTGAAGATGCTGGCGGAGAGAGAGGAAGCGCTGGGTAAGTCCTCTGCTTGGCCTGACCTGGAGAGCATCTAGTGGGTCTGGTTTCTGTGTCCCTTGTGGGTGGGAGAGGAGAGGTTTGAGAGCTGCACAGGTGGCTTCCTCAGCTGGAGAGGTCTTGGGGGTGACCTGGAGCCCCACTAAGGACAAGTGGATCGGAGGCCAAAAGGAGGCCCAGGCTTCATGGTAAACTGGGCCTGAATGCAGAGCTCAGTTTCTTTTTTTTTTCCCCCCAGTATTGGGGATTGAACACGACCTTCACACTGATCTACATCCCCAGCCCTTTTATTTAGTTTTTATTTTGATGTTGTTTTTTTGGTACTGGAGAACTCGGGACCTTGCACTTAGGAGGCAGGCGGCGGAAACACTGAGCTAAATCTCCAGCTTGTTAATTCTTTTTTGGGTGAGTACTGGGGATCGAACTCGGGTCTTTGCACTTGCGCAGCAGGCGGCAAAACCACTGAGCTAAATCTCCAGCCCTCTTTAGTTGTTATTTTGAGACAGAGCCTTGCTAAATTATCCAGGCTGGTCTCAAATTTGCAGTCCTCCCACCTTAGCCTCCCACAGTGTGGAGATTACAGGTGTGCACCACCACACCCAACTTCAGGTGAATTTTTTTTTTTTTTTTTTTGCCACTTGTGGGGATTGAACCTGGGACCTTGCATTGAGCTATGTCCCCAGCCCTTATTTATTTTTATTTTTTT